AAAATGTATATGGATAAGTTATGAAGGTAATTTTAAGTCCTGCAGAAAGCCTGATTCTTGATGGGAATCCTAATCTAAAAGAAAACTATTTGGAGGAGAGCATGCTGTGCTTCACCTTTCCTATCAGTATCTTTATGTGAGTGAAATCAGATTAAAATAATCATCAAAGAAAGTTCAAAAGAATGGGGTAAGACTAGAGGATGAAAGGAAGTCACAAATCATTCTCCCTGATAGAATACGTGGGGAAGAGAGGAAGGACCAATTTTACACAGTCAGTTTCATTGGTATTAAGAGTTATATGGTTGATTTATGGTGAGTCACAGATCTCTTTTAGTTTTGGTTTCTAGAGCCTCCTTCTCTCCATGTGCTCTGTGAGTCTGTGCTTACTTAGTGGTTGTGTTAGGCAGCTTTCATTGCTGTGACCAAAATAACTGACAAGAACAACAGAGAAGGAAAGTTTATGTTGGCTTACAGTTTCAGAGGTCCAGTGATGGTTGAGTGATTCCATTACTCTGGGCCCAAGGTGAGGCAGAGCATCGTGGAAGAAGGGTGAGGTGAAGGAAAGCTACTTGTTAGAGTCTGTAAACAAGTCAGGATGGCGCCTGGCATTTTGCCAGAGAAATGTTAGAGTCTGTAAACAAGTCTGGATGGCGCCTGGCAAAATGCCAGAGGGAGTGGTTTGTGAAGTAACACCAGCGAGCCATTAAGTGTGGATATTCCTTATTGGTTGACTGATGTATCTTAGATAAGCTGTGTGGAATGTATAAATACTGCTCCTGTCCTGCAATAAATGGCTTCCACTCCTGCTGTATCAACATACACAAGTTATTCGTCACCCCCCGGTTATTTTGCCCAGCCAGCCGGGCTGCGGCAGCTGCTCAACTCATGGCAGTCAGGAAGCAGAAACAGAGCACCAGGGAAATAAAATCCCAAGGACAGATGGCAGTGACCTACTTCCTCCAGCCAAACCTTGCCTGTTTGCAGTTACCACCCAGTTAGTAGTTCTTTCAAATTATTAGTCCACCAAATGGTTTAATCCATTGATTTGGTCACATTTCTCACAATGTAATCATTGCATCACCTGCATTAACACAGGAATTTTAGGGGGAAAACCTCATACCCAAACCATAACTGGCCGCGGAGTACCCGAAATCTGGAGTCAGTAAACTATTGCCTGATGGCAAATAAGGCCCACCCCTGTTTTCACAAGACCCTGGAATTAAGAATGGTTTTTACTGTTGCTTGTAGGAAGATTCCTTAGAAAACTTGGAATGGAACCACCATTTGACCCAGCTCTCCGACTCCCCAGTTTATATCTAAAGGACTTAAAGTCAGCATACTACAGTGACGTAGCCACATCAATGTTTATAGCAGTTCATTTCACAATAGTTAAACTGTGGAACTAACCTAAATGACCTTCAATGTATGAATGGAAAAGAAACTGTGGTATATATACACAGTGGAATATTACTCAGCCTTAAAGAAGAGTGAAATTATGGCATTTGCAGGTAAATAGATGGAGTTGAAGAATATCATGCTAAGCGAAATAAGCCAATCCAATCCCAAAAAATTTAAGGCCAAATGTTTTCTCTGATATGTAGCTGTTGATCCATAATGGGAGGCAGAGGCAAGGGAAAAATGGAGGAACTTTGGATTGGACAGAGGAAAGTGAGAAGGATGGTGGAATGAGATGGATATTATTACCTTATGTACATGTATAATTGCACATATGGTGTGACTCTGCATCCTTTACAACCAGAGAAATGAAAAACTGTGTTCCATTTGTGTACAATGAGTCAAAATACATTCTGCTGTTATGTATAACTAATTAAAACAAATTATAAAAAAAGAATGGTTTTTTTCAATTTTAAATGGTAGAAAGAAATCAAAAGAATAATAATATTTAGTAAAAATTACATGAAAGTCAAATTTCTATGTCAATTACTACATCTTTATTGGAACATAGCTACATTCATTTCTTTACATATTATTTATAACTATTTTTATACCATAACAGTGCAATACAGACTTTATTGCTGGTAGAGCCTAAAATACCAACTATTTAGCCCCTTATAGAAAAAGATTACCAACCCTTGACTGTAATAAATGGAATTTAAGAAGAGCACCTTTATGGTTTTTTTTTCTTAAGATCTAGTCATCAATGACATAAAGTCATCTGTGGCAATAGTAAAAATGCAGATTCCTAGGTCCTAGTATAGTTTTTACTGAAGAGAAATGCACTGAGCTATGCAGAACATGGAATCTGTGTTTTTTATATATGGTCCAGGTGATTTTTCTGAACACTGTGGTGCGAGAATCTTTCTGTGCAGGAAAAGGATATAGGGCTCCTGAACCCTTAGGAATGACTTAGGCAGATACTTGGCTCTATATGAAATGTCTTTTATGAATTATTTGAGATACACTAGAGTGGTCTCTGCATATTACTTACCTGCAAAATTTCTATAAAGGATTGATTAAAATAACATTGTATCATATTATATAAAATTATGGTCTCCAAAGTAGAGAATACACACAACTTGATTCACAATCCACTAAGTTCTAGGAAGAAAATAGTAGACTTATTAAATTTTCCCTATAACTTAACTTTGTGTGTGTGTGTGTGAATGATATATGTACATGTGTATGTGTATATAGACATATATTTGTATATATACCCAGTATAAAAATGAAAAAAAAAGTTTATAATGTTTTTATTATAAAAATGTTTATAATAAAAAGTGTTTTCTAGTTAACGCATTGCTGCTCTTCCCCCCAAAGGCTGTTTCATTTGCAGTTTATCTCTACCTTTCTAAATAATACCCCAATACTACTATTTCTAGATGTTTCTGGTTTAAATATGATCTGTTATTTTAAAAGATTAAGGATCTTGTTCTGTATTTTGCATATTCATACCCTTGCCTTACTGCCAATGTCTTGGTATAATCATATAAATTTTTTTTAAAATAGTGTTTCTATAATTGTGACAATCATATTACTATCTAGATCTGCTAACTTGATTTGATATATAGCTATCATTCTTAATTTTCCTTTCCCATCATTCTTGGAATTTCCTTTGCCTTCTTTCTTTGTTTATTTCCCAGTTTGCTCTACCTCATACTTTCTTTTTTTCTTGATTTAATCTCTCATTTTGCTAGAGATGGCTTCCTGATAAAATGCATATCTAAGGGAAGTTTTTTGAGAACTTGTTTATCTGAAAAGGCCTGGATTGTTAGTTCTGTTGAGGATTGTACTTTAGAAATCTTTTTCTTCCTAAGATATTTCATCCTTTAACTTTATTTAATTTTTAATTGACTAATGATAATCCTATATGTTTGTGTGGTACAATGTGATGTTTCAATATATGTACATGTTGTGGAATGATTAAATAAATCTAATTAACATATTCATCATATTTATCACCTTATTAATTCTTATGGTAGAAACATTTAAATCTATTCTTTGAGCAACTTTAAAATTACATTATTGCTTTAAATAAACTCCATTGTTTATATTTAAGGATATAACATGTTATAAAATGGATACTTTAGTGAAACAAATTGGCATATCCATTATTTGCCCTAATTCCCCCATCCCTATCATGGCAAAAGCAGCTCTAAATGTATTCATTTAACAAAATCTTAGATACAATGTATGAACTATGGTACTCATATTATATATTAGATCTTTAGATTTGTTCATTTTATATATTGCTACTTTGTATCCTCTGATCTAGCCTCTTTATTTTCTCCACCTATCCACCTACCACTGGTAACCACTCTTTTATTCTCTATCTCTGTACTCTGTATGGGGATTCCACATATGTGTGATATGCAATACTTTTTGTCTTTGATTTCTCTTATTTAATATAGTGTCCTCTAGACCCGAGCATTATTTATTTAATTACTTAATTTAATAGTAATAAGCAGAATCTCCTGTTTTAAAAATATTCCACTGTATATATTTACCAAAGTTTCTTATCCATTCATTTGTTGACAGATTTATTTCTGTCAATTGGTTATTATGAATAATTCTGGAATGAATGTGGGAGCCTGCAGATATCTTTATAAGGTAGTGATTTAATTTCTTTTGAGTGTAAGAGGGATGCTAGATCATATAGTTGTTTTATTTTTATTTTTAAAGGAACTTCCATATTATTTTTCATAATGGTTGCACTAATCTATATTCTTACCCAAAGTGTTAAAAGTGTTCACATCCTTGACAACACTTGATATTTCTTGTCTTTTTCAAAATATCCACCCTAATGGGTGTGAGGAGATATCTCATAGTGGGTTTGATTAGCATTTCTCTGATTAGTGATGATGTTGAGTACCTCTCCAAAGACCTGTTAGCCATTTTTAAGTCATTTTTGAAGAAGTGTCTACCCAGATCATTTCTTCACTTTTGAATCGAATGTTGTGTTTTCTTCTTATTAAGTTATATGAGCTCTTTTTTTTTTTTTTTCACTGTTCAAGGTTTATTTGATATTTCAGTTGGTGTGACACTTGGATAGCTGGTTGCAATGTTCATTTGTAGATCTTTCTTTTACATTATATGGAAATGTACACTACAAGATACATATAATACACAAAATAAAATCCTTTAGAACAGTTATACATAAGACATGCGATATTGGATTTAACATTGGATCCCAGGATGTGACTGAATGAGAAAAAAGTTGGACTAGGCATGTCTGATAAAGGTGTATCACACAACATACACAATGTTGTGTAACATTGGCAGTGGAATCTCAGAGATGGTGGAACTATTTTACACTAACTATTTTAGGACTACACAAGTTAAGTACTACCCAGCATCAGGATATCTGTAAGGTTTTATGCGCCATTCCTATTTCTAACTTTAGAAAATTGATGTTTTTCCCAGGCCATCTAAAGGACAACATGCATGAGCTTGGAGTTTGCAGTCACAATATAGTCTTTGCCAGAGACAAACTAAAATCCTGTTGTATCCTAGACAGTGAAGTGGTATGACATTAGAAGCCTTTAAAACTGAAGCTTTTTTTGGATTCCCCAAAGTGTATCTGCACTTTTCTTCAAATGTGCCTCTTCCTGAGGAGGCAGATTCACCTTCACGACATCTGAGATTGCATTTTGTCCCAAGATGCAAGGCACACTTAGAAAAACATCATCCTTTATTCCATAGAGACCCTAAATCATAGTGGAAATTGGATGCACCTGTCTAAAATTCTTTATTATACTTTCTGCCCAATCTGCCACAGACAGTCCAATGGTCCAGGATGTATAGCCTTTTAGTTTGATCACCTCATGAGCGCTGTCAACCACCTGCTTATGAACCTCTTTCCAATGTTCCTTATCTGCATCAGTGCCCAAATCTGGGAGCAGATTCTTCAAGGAGACACCAGCAACATTCACTCCACTCCACACAGGTACACTAAGGTCTCCATGCTCCCCAAGGACCCACCCATGACAGCTTAATGGGTGAACTCTCAGCCTATCCCCCATCAGGTAACGGAACCGTGCTGAATCCAGATTGCAACCACTTCCAATAAAATGTTTTTTTGGGAAAGCCACTTATCTTACGAGCCACATAGGTCAAGATATCCACTGGATTGGAAACAATAAGCAACTTGCAATGTGGGCTGTATTTTACAACACTGGGAATGATGAACTTGAAGATGTTCACATTACGCTGGACCAAATTAAGACAGCTTTCTCCCTCTTGCTGATGTGCCCCAGCTGTGATAATAACGAGTTTGGAGTTTGCAGTCACATTATAGTTTTTGCAGAGACAATTTTTGGTGTTCTAAGAAAAAGGCTGCCATGCTGGAGATCCATCATCTCGCCCTTCAATTTATCTTCCATGAAAATAAGAGCAAGTTCATTTGCCAAGTCCTTCATTAAGATACTGATAGCACAGGCCATGCCAACAGCACCAACCCCAACAAATGTAATCTTATTCTGGGGGACCTATTCTTCCTTAAGAAGATTCTCAATTAGCTGATCCTTGAGACTTGCCATCTTGGACTTGGAACCAAAAGGAATCGGGAGTGCACGTTGAGAAGGCGTTGGGGGTGCGCAGCAATAGAATCCGCACTTAGCAGCAGTCTCCGGCACCCTATATGAGCTCTTTATAAATTTTGGATAAATTATGAGACATATGGTGTGCAAACATTTTTTTTTCTATAAACATAGGCTGCCTTTTCATTTTTAAAAAATTGTTTTCCTTGATTGCACAGAAACTTTTGAGTTGGAAGTAATTCCATTTATTAATTTGGGTTTCATAGACTGAGATTTGATGTTATATATAAAAGTCATTGATAAGACCTATGGAAAGGAGATGGTCCCCTATGCTTTCTTGTAGGAGCATTATGGCTCCCATTCTTATGTTTAAGCCATCCAGTTTGAGTTGCTTTTGTATACAATCTTCATTTTCCTATATATGAAAATCCAGTTTTTCCAACATTTATTGAAGAGACTCTCCTTCCTCTATTATGTCTTCTGGGTGCCCTTGTTAAGATTATTTATGTATTTCTGTTCTGTTCCACTGTTCTGTTCTGTTCACTGCTTTGATGGTAGTACTATACCATTTTGATTATCCTAGCTTTGTAATATATTTTAAATTGGTGATGTTGCCAATTTTGTTTTTCTGTCTCAGAATAGCTTTTTATATTTGAAGTCTTCTGTGGCTCCATACAAATTTAAAGATTGTTTTTTTCCCTCCCGTTTTTTGTAAATAATGTGGGATTTGAAAGGGATTGTATTTAACCTGTATATTGAATTGGGTGTCATGAATATTTAAAAAAATACTAATTCTTCTGATCATTAACATGAAATATTTCCCCATTATTTGTGTTGTCTCCAATTTCTTTCATCAGTTTGTTTTTATAGCTTTTTGTGTGCCAATTTTCCACCTCCTTGATCAATTTTATTTCTAGGAATTTTAGTTATTTTTTGATGCTATAATAAAAGAAACTGTTTACTTAATTTCTTTTTGCAAGGTTATTATTTATATACAAAAATGCCACAGATTTTGTATTTTGATTTTATAAACTGAAACTTAATTCCCTTTTTTGAACTTTTTGAAATTTTCTACATATAGGATTATGTCATCTGCAAATACAGATTATTTTACTTCTTCCTTTCCAATATAATATCTTTAACTTCTTTTTCTTATCTGTCCTTCCTCCTCCTCCTCCTCCTCCCCCTCCCCCCCCCCCCCCCCCCC